TGAACAACTCGAAAGTTTATGCTCCTTTGATCACTACGCACATTCACTTTATCAATTAACTTGAAATTATTCATTCAAAACATAATTATTTGTAAAATTTTGTATACATTTTTTTTGTTTTGTAGATAGTGCAGTTCCTGAATAAATCTCTAAATCTCTAAGATTTAAATGTTTGCTATTTCGCTGTCGCCATGCAGTCGTTATAATGCAAACTTTAAATTGGACCAATCAGTGTCCGCTATTCATGACAGTCCGCCATTGAGGTGGATATCTTTGAACTATATTCAACGCGCAGCGTTGATCAGGTGGATATCCTTGAACTATATTCGCCGATACGGAGGTGACTAATTATTTTCGCATGTAGTGGCCACAACAAAACAAATATATGTAAAAAAAAAGATTTTCAAAACAATTTGTACTTCAGCTCCCGTAATACTGTAGTTATAAACAGAACAGTATTTACACACTTTTAGTAATTTTATTCATTAGAACTCTACACACTGTTAAACAAAACCATCCTTTCTTCATGTTTTGCGAAATCGCAGCTTCGCTTAGTACAAACACTTGCTCGTCTGTATATATAAACTAAACGAAATGGGAAGCCTTTTAAGCCCATTTTGTTTTTGTCCTGAGGTGAACAGTGCAAGGATATATAAGCAACCAATCAAATTGCGTGAAAGCATCATCCACCCACTTTTGATTCCTGATGATGACTGCAAGCTAGTCGAAACGTCGAATCAAAATGTTAACCGTTTTCGGAGTGTCCATTGTTTTGTATTTTTTTAAATTACTCAGTGGTAACCGTAATTATTCACCTTCTGAATATATATGCTATGCTGTTTTATTTATTTTGCATGCTGAACAAATTAGGTCTTTCGCAATTTTCTGTACATTACTGAGCAACTTTTGGGAAAATTTTGACTAAGCATGCATTTAAAGCTATTGCATGGTTTCACTCTATCAAACTCGTATATGTAGAAACTTAATATCTATTAATATTTCTATTATTGCTTTACATTACTATGTATATAGATAATAGCTTTATCGCTTCCTTTATTAATTGAACATGCTCTTATCACACTGATTATTAGATCTCTACTCAGACATTAGTATTTGCGTGCATTACCATGCAAGTTTAACAAAAAATATTGTCTTTCGATCAAAAGATTCTGCGTAAGCGGGAAAACTACTTTTATTACAAATAACTGTATGTATTTTGTATAGGTAATAGCATGGTTTCGAGTGCAATTTGGATATAACATGCACGAGTGAGTTTTTCAAAGATCTCAAAATAGCACGAGTCCGAAGGACTAGTGTTATTTGAGGTCTTTGAACAACTCACGAGTGCATGTTTATCCAAATTTCACGAGAAACCATGCTATTATACTTATTAATAATTTACATAAAATTGTTCGAAACAATTGTAGTTTTAACTTACGCGTTTATAGCGAACATTCCACTGGCAAAGTTTTCCTGGCTTTGTTATATCACATTATACAGCGCTAAACAGCTTGAAAATTCCACTCAACTATATGTAATTTTTGTTAGTCTTGTTTAAAGTAAATGCTTTCCATTTAAAAATAAAGATAAAAGCTATATTTTCCACGCGAAGGCAACTTTTACTGTAGCGCGGCGCCATGTTTGTTTTGTTTTAAAGCAATCTGTGACCGTTTCTTCTTTAAACTAAATTGCTTTAATTAAACTGATTGGTTGATTTAATCATCACAATGTTTTTCCACCAATCAGATCAGTTTGTTACAGATTTTTGCACTGTGATTACAGAAAATTGCACTGTGATTACAAAAAATTGCACTGTGATTACAGAAAATTGCACTGTGATTACAGAAAATTGCACTGCTGTTTCGGAAATCTGCCCTGAAATCAACCAATCACAGTCGAGTAATATCTTTATGTATATTATTAACTAAATAATAAAATGAACAAAAGGAGTCCTGTGCCCCCGTGCCACAGTTAAAAAACTTGAATATATAAATCATCAGAGTACTATATCATGCACTTTTAAACTCTTATATAATTATATTAAGCGACTATGATTACTATATGAATATTTCAATAAAATGCACAGAAAATAGTCGAAAGTGCAATTATGAAGGTGGACTTCAATGATCTGGATTCTTGCACTTCACTTGGTGGAATTAATATTAGAATGTCAGGGTTTGTAATCCAAGTGAGAATATATACATTTTAAGACCTAACCAGGAACGACTGCGAAAAATGCAGCACAAGGTCTTCTGGTAGGAATTGAACCTACGGCCCAGCGATTCCGGTGCAGCGCTCTAACCAACTGAGCTACAGAGGCCAGCTGTTAAGCTGTAACCGTAAGTTCATGTATACATAGGTAATCGGGTGTGCGGGTTGTAATAGGGTGAGCTTCAATGATCTGGATTCTTGCACTTCATTTGGTGGAATTAATATTAGAATGTTAGGGTTTGTAATCCAAGTGAGAATATATACTTTTTAAGATCAGAGGACCTTGTGCTGCCAGAGGACCTTGTGCTGCATTTTTCGCAGCCATTCCTGGTTAGGTCTTAAAATGTATATATTCTCACTTGGATTACAAAACCTAACATTCTAATATTAATTCCAACAAGTGAAATGCAAGAATCCAGATCATTGAAGTCCACCCTATCACAACCCGCACACCCGATTACTAGCTATATCTACATGAACTTACGGTTTCAGCTTAACAGCTGGCCTCTGTAGCTCAGTTGGTTAGAGCGCTGCACCGGAATCGCAGGGTCGGAGGTTCAATTCCTATACCAGAGGACCTTGTGCTGCAATTATGAAGGTGAATATTATATATACTATAAATATATGAATATATTATAAAGGAAAGTATATATATACCACAGTTCAAAAGACTTGAATATATAAATCATCAGAGTACTATACCCATTAAACTCTTATATAATTATATTAAGCAATTTGTCGTTTTTTCCCAGTCCAGAAGCTGTCGTTTGTCGCTCTTTTTTAGATAGTCTGTCGTCCCTTTTTAAAGAATGTCCCCTGTCGGTCATAATCCCTTGGTGGGCCTCATTACTATAATTTATGAATATTTCAATAAAATGTACCACAGAAAATAGTCGAAAGTGCAATTATAATGCAATTGTTATATATTAAAGATGCCGTTTGCGCATCAGTTCTGCTCATAACAAAGGGGGCCCGCAGATATAAACATTGCCCAAATTTTGCATCTTTCGAACTTTTTTGAATTGAAACGTCTATAGCTTATATTCATTTACGTCTCCAAAACCAAGTGTGTTTTGTTCTGTTCACAGAGGCATAATGAACGAAATAGAGCTGTTAGCGTGAATCTCTTCATGCGTTCAAAGTGTAACTATACTATTAAGCACTTAGGTGTAGTATTTGATAGCCACATGACGTGGAAAGATTAAGCGGATCGACATTAATAGACCTTACCGCTTATTCATTTTTGACCCAATGGCCTCGTTTGAGGGGTTGCCAGTTTTGGCAAGACAGGCGCACATGAAGGTCATATTGCCATGTATCTTTCACGATTTGGTTCCTCGTTGATCTTAAGCCCAATTAATAACAAGTAAGTTCTTAATATTGGGTCAAACGTCAATAAACGGTAAGGTATATTCAGTATGAATCATTTGATGTAACGATGAACAAATTTACAGTCAAACTTTCGCTAAACGTCAAACATGTAGGCTATTATTGTCATGATTAATATATCCCACCTGCTCTCCCACACTACATATCATTGTCATTCGCACTGAAAATGTAAATAATAAAGCCACGTTTACACGAGCAAATTTTATTTGACAAATTTCATATGTCAAAGATATTTTGCTCGTGTGGATGATGCATTTGTGACAAATTTATTGTGACAAATGCATTTGAACAAAAGCTAGCATGCTAGCTTTTGATCAAATGCATTTGTCACATGAAATTTGTCAAATAAAATTTGCTCGTGTAAACGGGGCTTAACTGTAAATAATAAAAACTGTTGTGTTATATCATACTGGAAATGCTAATTTTCAATTTGCGTGTAATAAATAATGTATAGTAATAAAAATTTCTACTCGTTGATTCGCCTGTCGGTACAAATAAAAAAGCGTAGAAGCCGCAGCGAAAGCTGATCAAAGTGAAAAAACCCAACATGTCAAGGTTTCGAAATTATATTTGCCATATAGTCTTTCACTACGATAATTATCATTCTAAACTTTCGTTCTATAACTATATGTTGTTTTGTGTAGGAAGGGCAATAATCATTTGTCGGAAAAGTTGAAGGAAATTGGACTAACTGACCCGAGCTTAACAAATTTTTGGAAATTCATCACACAGAAAGGAACATAGAGATTATAAAAATATCCAGTGGGCATTACGGGATATATCGAAGGACAAATTGAAGCTTCCTTACGGGGGCAAATTTTAGTTTTATTTTCACTTTTTTTTTAGCCCGACTGTCCCTAATCGATCCGGAATATAAATAGACTCCAAGAGTATAAATCTAGACGATCGATAATATGAAACGATTAAAACTGACACAAAAACCGATCAGCTATTGAAAAGTATGGAAATTCCCAGTCATGTGAGAAGATGCGACCAGGGTAAACATGGCAACCAAATTATATATATTAAAATAAATACTCAAAGGATTTCAGCACATTCTTAGTAATTCAACCGTGTTGACTAGCTACAAAGTATAAAATAAAAGGTAAGCTGATAACTGTTTGCATGCATATGTTTCACGGGCATCGTGCCCTCGCCATATAGTTTGATTTGGTAGCTTTTTTTGGTACAAGCAGCAGTATACATGATGGTGATTAATGTGTTATAGAATGTTTTATTGAATACGCGAGGTCAGAATCGTTACAGCAATATATTACTTAATTAAAGTTTCAATATTGTTTTCAATCTTCTTTTCTTCGTTTTCCGCGTTTGTTGTCGTCTGTCTTAATAGTTTCGTCTAGTTTGAGTTTCTGCTAGGCAATTTTGCTTCTATTAACTAGAGTTGAACTGGGCTCCTCCCTGAATGCCAACGATGAACGGGAACTTGTACATGTGACTGAAAAAGGTGAGCCAACTCCACAGCACCAGCACCGAGGTGATGCACCCTTTGAACTCCCATCTCTGCTCCAACAACTCTGTTTGTTTAAGGCGTTGTCCAGTAATTAAAGTCGGTTTTTACGCTCAAAATAATCTTTCTCAAAACAATAGATATACTCCGAAAATTGAAAGCGTTTTGAAAAATTTATTTCGACGTTTCGACTAAATTATAGTCATCACCAGGAAATGAATGACATTTGATGTCATTCATTCGAAATGAATAACATCACTCATTTCCTGATGATGACTATAATTTAGTCGAAACGTCGAAATAAATCTTTCAAAATGCTTTCAATTTTCGGAGTATCTATTGTTTTGTATTTTATCAAAATACTCAGTGGTTCCCGTAATTTAATCTTTCTCAGTTTGTTTATTTCTTAACAATTTTTTTCTTAACTAATCCTATATATTGTTCATCAGGAAAAATTACCAGCTGAAAGAATATTAATTTATTTGTACGAGTTGTGCTAAATATATCCAGAAAATGCCAAAGTAAGATTTCGGTGACGAAATATTATAATTATCTGACCGAGTGTTATCCAGCCTGGGATGACCCATTCTTATAAGCCTGTCCACATGAAAGGTCAATGTTCATGAGATTCCATGCAGGCAGCTGCTCTTTTTACACAAACTCTGCCCACAAAATAAACTGTAGGAAACAGGTCAATCAAGACTAGTGACACTTTCAGCTACACAAAGGCAGCTAGTCTAACTAACTAATGGGAGAAATAATGAATAGTTTACGAAGGAGCAAAATGTATTTACTTTACTTTGATTTGTGACAAAAAATCCATTCTCTCTTCTCACTATATGTTTAGAATAATGTTTGCATGCTTGGACGAATATTTCACCTGCGCTCAAGCAAACATCTTCTATTTCTTAATTTAACCTAAAATTTAGTTTTATGCATGATAGATTAAGCTAAAATTTAATGTAAGTGAGTGTTCCGTACAACAAAAACAAATGGTATCAAAAGGACAAAGAAAAACGAAACTTTCTTATGGCTTAAAAAAATAAATCGTGTCACCTAGGGATTGTCATCGTCGCATGGGAGGTAAGATTGCACTATCACTTGCCTAAGGTGAATCCTCATACAGACTAGTGGAGGGAAGGAGTTGTCTTACTTCTCCAGTTTAGACTGGCTCCAAGCAAAGTCTACCATTGCTTGTTTAGCTACTGTTACAATCATAATTGTGTGCATCAATATTATTAGGCTGATAAAGGAAGGCGATAAATTACATATTTCACTTTTAAGTTGCATTGCGCCTTAATGCGTCCTATACTTCAGTATTTTACTCTGTCTAACGCCAGATGATTTTACTCGACAAGGGGAAACAGCTAGCACTCTATGGGTTAAAACGGGTGCAGTGGTAATACCAATAATGTATTGTTACTGGCATACATACTCGTAAATATTTCCATTCAAATTAGCTGAAGTATTTCATAAATAATGGTGTCGTATTAAATAATTCTTCCAAATTTTTAAAAAAGATATTTGACACAAAATTATTTTCAGTAAATGCAGTATACCCATGTATTGTTTCTCCGTTGGCCAGCTAAGCATTAATAAGAGCAACTAATTAATGTATTTGTACATCAGTCAACTATATGAATTGCCACCGTATTCAAGCATATTGTGACTTATCTTATAATATGTGCTGGGATATTTGTGCATGGCCTGTTATATAGATGACCCACATATTTTGCAATTGCCAATTTAATCTATCTGGAGAGTATACATTGTTTGGATAGGTGCTTTATGTTTTCATTGCTACCTGTAATTGTTTGTTAAAGGGAATTGACAATATAAATTTTTATTTTCTCATTTGAAAAAACTTTTGAAATAGATATTAACTTCTTTTACAGATTTTTCATATCTTGCTTAGTTCTTGAAATATTTTCACTAGAGGTAATGAGATGTCCGCCATCTTGGATATATTTTTGGTCTCATTAACGGTAGTTTTCGTGACGTCACAACAGGGATTAACTATATAAAAGTATTCGTTGCTGACCAGGTATTGATTGGTAGATGTCTTAAAGGTTCTGAGTGATCTTGATATTTCGAAGGGCAGACAGAGTAAAGTTTTGAGCGCAAAATGATTAGTGGTTGTCTAGATAAAAATATTGCATGACCCCTGTTGTGACGTGACATGCATATCTACAAAAGTCGAAAATGGCGGACATTTCATTCTTTTCGATCAAAATATTTGTAAAAGTAAGCAAGATATGGGAAAAACGGCAAAATAGTAGTATGTAGGCTATAGTCTTAAAAGTTCTTTCAAATGAAAAAATAAAAAAATATATTGCCTTTTCCCTTTAAAGATATATCAAATATCTAAACAAGGTATCTTTCAACGTTATATTTCGACTTCAGATTTATAAGGTACTTGTAGACATTTTTCGAAATGTGTACTTTGGATAGAACGTCCAAACTAGACTAGCTACTCCTAGTTCAGTGGAGTGAAATGATTTGTGTCTTCATTTTCAGCCCGACATGGCCTGCAGGAAATTTTCTCCCAGCAAACAATCCACACATGAACCACCCAAGAAGAGGGGAAAAAGCCATCATTGTGACGGCGTGCCGAAACCCACCAAGGAAGCTCTTTAGACGCACTGAAAGGTGTGGAAAACGAGATTAAGAAACTTGGAAATGAGTTACTGGAAAAGAAATTAGAAAAATTGCGCGGACAAGTTCGAGGTCTTTTGGAAAATCAGGAGAAAGAAATTAACAATCTTCGGGGCGAAATACATACTTTAAAGAAGGAAGTGGACAGGCAGAAAGCCAAAAATGAAAAGTTAGAAAAGGTGCTCGTGGTAGCGCAAGCAACGTGGTTGTGGGAAAAACATTTGGCGAGGTTTGTAGTTGACTCTTCCAGAACAATCTATCAATCTGGTTGGATGGATCAAATGGAAGACTATTTGAAGGAAATGAATACGAATCAAAATCGCTTTACTAAAATACAAAAAAAATTAAAAACAACATGGACAGAAGAGCATTGGCAAGTGGTCTTCACTGTAAGAAACGAAAGAAATGGTATAGCACATCCGGATTTGATCGACCTTGACCTCGTCGAGTCTCAATTAAAGAAAATGTACCCAAAACACCAAAAAGTGTTGGGGGAGATGTTGGACGAACTTAAGATGACAGCAAGTCTAATGAAGTTTGGACGTCTGGCAGATTTCTACGAAAAGAACAAGAAGCTGTTTCCGACTCAAAGAAAGCGTGGTAAAAGAGTGGACGCAGATGCACTGAAGAACATAATTTCGTGGAATTGTAAGTTTGAACAAATCGATGGTCTACAAAGTATCGAGCACGAGGAAGCGAAAAAGTACTTAACCATGTATGTAGATAATCCCAGAAAGATCGACCACTATTTATTCATCGTTGATTTTATCAAGGATGGAAACAGTAAGCGTTTGGGAAAACTGGCCTGGGAGTTCGAAGGTTTACCCACAGAGTATAGTGAAGCGCTACGAGAATTAAAGAAATTGCTCCCAAATCCAGACGACGAAAGCGAGGATACAAATCTGGATAAAACAATAGCAAAGTTGCATATACCTGACTTCCTACCGAAGCATTTGTGGAAGGATGGCATCGAAATCGTGGAGAAATATTTTGAATGACCCTCTAACATAATAACTTGATTTGAAACTATTTTTATTATTTATCTAAAAATAAGCACAACTTCTTAATTATAAAAAGCAAACACTCATTAATAATTCATAAGCTTATTGGCAAATCATATCAACCATAATATGTCACGTGCAGTGGCTTTAAAAGTGGCACTATCATTAAAATTTATATATTTTTTTCATAATCCAGAAATATAACGTATGCTTGATATTCTTACCAAATTTCAAGGCAAAATTCGTTCATCTTCCTGACTTTTTTGCGATTCTTATTTGCCAATTTTACGGCCGCCATTAAACGCGCCCAATTAAGCGAGAAGGCGTTTTGAAGAGGATGTGACGTCATTCACTCAACACGCCGAATGTTTTTATTGTATTTCACTAGTATTTCAACAATGTCTTCGTACAAATTCATACAAAGGAGAGTCAGAAACTTCAGAAAGTGAACATTCGCATGGGAGCAAAGCGAGCTGTGATGAAGAAACGTACGGTGACTCACATTCAAGTGAAAATAGTGATGAAAAGAAGAAATCAAACCTAGAATTGTTAATATTTGGCGACAATAATTATGTAAGTTATAGCTATAAACATATGATTTCAACGCATGTGTGCCTATTGGTCTATTTCTGTATTTTTAACGACTGTAAATTAAACTGACATTATTGTATATGATTATTGTATATAACAATAAGTTGATTTCAGATTTTACAACTTGCATTTGAATAATGTCTCGGGACCGAATCACAGAATTAATATGCTAAATTAATGCTTCAAATCAGTTCAATATTTGTTTTCCATACTTTTATAGAACTTTCAACCACTCATTAATAATTCATAAGCTTATTGGCAAATCATGTCAACCATAATATGTCACGTGCAGTGACTTTAAACCTGATAAAACATTCCTAATTAGTATTCTTTATATAAAGAATACTAATCAGGCACTGTCTATTGTTGTCGTGCCCTCATTAGTATTTTTTTATATAAAGAGAATACTAATAAGGCCGGCGGTGTATCTATTCAATTTGTAGTCGTATTTGAAGCCGTTTAATAAACTCGCAGGTCGTGTTTTATTAGGTCTAAAGCCACTCGCGCTGCGCGCTCGTGTCTTTAAACCTAATAAAACACTCCTGCTCGTTTATTAAACAGTACTTAATATACTCAATGCCAATGGCAATGAGCGCAACTTGAAAATTACACATCGACTTTTCAAATGCAAGTTGCAAAATTTATACTGTATATAGTTTGCTATGTCAGTTTAATATACAGAAATAGACCGATAGACAGTTATTAGACACACATGCATTGAAATATTATTTATAGCTATAAATTACAAGGCATTTGTTTGTACTTTCAGGGCCCGCGGAGCGTATTAGAGAGTGGGGGGGGGGGGCTAAATCATCAATAAAACCCCCAATTAATTAATTTAGAAAGTTTCATTTAGATTTCTATTTTAATAACTTTGGCTGTCAAAAAAAGTGGGGGGGCTAAAGCCCCCCCAGCCCCCCCGTCTCCGCGGTCCCTGATTTTTGTTCGTATTTTGATTGACCGAAAGGTTTATTATCATACGCAGTACGCTAGTTTCCTTCCATCGCTGCTTATGTTTTGTGTACGTGAGAAACTATCAAGTTGCTGTGATGTATATTAAAGAAGCATAAAGTGATGCAAAAGGCAAACTTTGAACGAGTGATGAAAATTATCCTTTTCAACTTCAAAAGTAAGTTTGTAAAAACAAGGATTATTATTGACCGAAAGCCTGCCAAAGGTCATGTTTTCAACAACAAACAAGATAGCCATTTTTGTCGCCAAATATTAACAATTCTAGGTTTGATTTCTTCTTTTCATCACTATTTTCACTTGAATGTGAGTCACCGTACGTTTCTTCATCACAGCTCGCTTTGCTCCCATGCGAATGTTCACTTTCTGAAGTTTCTGACTCTCCTTTGTATGAATTTGTACGAAGACATTGTTGAAATAGTAGTGAAATACAATAAAAACATTCGGCGTGTTGAGTGAATGACGTAACATTCCCCTACCTCCTCCGCAGGCCTTTCAAAAAAATAAAATTGGTGGGAAACGAACGGAAAGGCCTGCGGACTAAGTTTCCAAAATGGCGGGAGCCACTCAACGATGGCTCTGGGTACGAGATTGGGCGGGAGCCATGCACAAACCAAATTATATTTAATATATCATTTTACCAGAAGTGAGAACAATATTATTATTGAAGTCTTTAACTATTTCTGATATAGACCGCTTTTCGTATCCGCAATATTCATAAAAACAGTGAACACTGAACAAACAAGCATACAATGATTTATACGGAGAAGCAGGTAATTGATAAATATCAGTTTATAATTTGCATATTACAAACACGCAGCATGCACTTTTATGTATAAACACGTCATATGTCAGGCATGCGGCCGTTTATCCACGAAATTTATTCCATTTATATTTGTCTTTTATACAGTGTAACTATTCAAATGCGTGTGTATATAGTCAAAACATCCCATTTGGCCAAATGATAGATTCACAACGTCTATTATCACTGTCGCTTGTGCTTGTAAAACCCTCCATTATTTGAATCTCCTCATCGCTTTTATCAGTCATAACTGCCAAGATGTATTTAGAAAATACTCGCAAAACGGGATTGCTAAAGATTGGCAGACGATGTGCCATATTTTTGAAGAAATTTGATCCAACCGAGTAATCGACACTACTGGGTGTCCCAAAAAAAACTTGCGGTGTTTGATTTTATGTAAGGTAAAAACTATAAAAGCAATTACACTCAAATAAGTTTTATTGTATTGAGGAAAGGCTAACTTAGATTTTGATATACAGCCCTAAACATTTCATGTAATATTACGTGAGATACAAACGTTTGAATGTGGCGCACGCTTTAAAAATGAGTAAAAAAATCGAGAAACATGGCAATTTCAGCATTTCAACTCAACTTTAATTTCGGGTAATGTCCTAGTATATAAGTAAACCTTTCGTGTTTCTTGGGAAGCGAAGTAAGGATAAAAAATTTTAAAACGTTCCAAAGCATATTTGACGTCCTTTGAGAGTTTGTATTATACAGTATAAGTTGGTCCTCGTTCGCCTTTCGAATGCATATTCGATTAACAAAAGATCAAAGAGTTTGGCTTTTATGTTTTCCCGTGCAAGAAATTGTATACGTGCAAGGGGACCGCATACTTTCTATGATAAATGAATAAATGTTTATCCAACAATTATGTTTTTCATTCGTTCTTTTGGCCACAATAAAACTATATAATCAAGTTTAACCAAATATTTGATTGGCACTTTTATGCAAATTTTTAACATTCTCAAACATGCTTATTCGATTTAAAACATCGATAGCTCAGTAAATATTGCACGGATATTCAAATGTTATATTTTGATTTATAATATAGCATTTGTAAATTCTGAACGCTGATTGGCTAAGAGCCGTGTTGATATAAGTCAATGTCAACACGGGAAATTTTCCGCCGCTTGTAAACAGGGAAATTTTTCTTATCCTTCGGGCTTTTGACATTGCTATATTATAAAAAAAATATAAAACATTTTTTCCGTATTGATATATAGTTATATCAACACTCGTGGAAGTTGGGAAAACTCGAAATTGTATGAAAACACTCCGCCCTTCGGGCGTCGTGTTTCCATACAATTTCTCGTTTTCCCAATTCCACTCGTGTTGATATAACTGTATATCAACACGGAAAATGTTTTATATTTGTTAATAAAATCTAAGTTAGCCCCTTCTGAATGCAATAAAACTTATTTGAGTGCAATAGCTTTTATAGTTTTTTATGTTACATTAAATCAAACAGCGCAAGTTTTGTGTCAGGTTGAGCTCGGTTTTCTGTGCTGCCGAATACTACGAGACCAGTCAAAGCCTTTATGGCATAATTATGGCTTATGTGCCCGGTTGTTGGCACATAGCCGCTTTATTGTTTTAATCCATTTTTAATAATTAACAAGAAAAATTATTAATTAATAACTATATAAATTTAGCACAGAAAAGGTGGGGGCATTACTAATGCCCACTACACATAACGTATCTATATAAGTTCCACATATCGCGTCCATAGATATCTCATATACACTAGATAGCGCATCTCGGAATACAAAACTGAAGCCAAAAATCTCAGCGGTTTCCCCCATGAAAATAGGCGGCGGCCATATTGGTCGTTCCCACCAGGGCGCTGTAAAACACGGGCGGTGAAACGGCTATGGCGCCCCTGATCTATGTGTGATGCAGGTCCCCCCGCATATTTTCATTTTTATTCGAATTCGATGTGGTTTGATCAGGCATGCAGGTTTGTTTTGACTTCTTTTTAAAATTACTACGTAAAAAGGTACAAATCAAGCTGAATTCACAATGGATTTGGGATCTGTGCTATTACTATAGACAAAATCTTTTTTCCGGATTCTTAATCACAGCTGATTATATGGGGAATGTTGTAGTGTATTAAGATATATTAAAGTCTGGGATCTCACTCACGAGGATCGATTGTTTTTGCAAAACAACTTCGTTCGTTTATAAGATGAAAAAAAAGACGAAGAAAAAGTTTTTTAAACGGCTGTTGTTGTAAAACCTGCAACTGGAATGTGTGTTTGGAAATCAGGTATGTTCAATCACATGTATTTTTGTCAAGTTCCACCAGATGAAGCGCCATAAATTGATAAAAACAGCAAGTTCTTTTTTTCAAGCGATAGTTTGTTGTCGCAGTTTTACAAGCGCGGAAAATTTTTAACTTTTAAATATTTCATGCACAACATATGAAAACTAGTTTTATTTTGATGTTTTTATATAATTTAAGTACGTAATTTTCTGAAAATCACCAAACGAAAATGGGCTTTTTTAATTTTTAAACATTTTTTTGGCCTTGTTTTTGACATGTGCATGCCAAATCTACACATGAAATACAAGCAAGCGATAGTTTGTTGTCGCAGTTTTACAAGCGCGGAAAATTTTTAACTTTTAAATATTTCATGCACAATATATGAAACCTATTTTTATTTTGATGTTTTTGTATAATTAAGTACGTAATTTTCTGAAAATCACCAAATGAAAATGGGCTTTTTTAATTTTTAAACATTTTTCTGGCCTTGTTTTTGACATGTGCATGCCAAATCTACACATGAAATACAAGCAAGCGATAGTTTGTTGTCGCAGTTTTACAAGCGCGGAAAATTTTTAACTTTTAAATATTTCATGCACAATATATGAAACCTATTTTTATTTTGATGTTTTTGTATAATTTAAGTATGTAATTTTCTGAAAATCACCAAATGAAAATGGGCTTTTTTAATTTTTAAACATTTTTGCCCTGATTCAGTTTGACATGTCCATGCCGAAATCTACACATGGAATAGCATTGCCTTCGACTTTGCGTTTTTGAAATCTGACACCCTATGAAAAAAGCTGGGAAAAAGTATGTTTAAACAAAAAAGCCCATTCTCATTTGATGATTTTCAGAAAATTAGGTACTTAAATTATCCAAAAACATCAAAATAAAAATAGGTTTCATATATTATGCATGAAATATTTGAAAGTTAAAAATTTTCCGCGCTTGTAAAACTGCGACAACAAACTACATCGCTTGCTTGCATTCGTTATGGCATTGTGTAGATTTGGCATGCACATGTCAAAAATAAGGGCAAAAAAATGTTTAAAAATTAAAAAAGTCCATTATCATTTGATGATTTTCAGAAAATTACGTACTTAAATTATCCAAAAACATCAAAATAAAGCTAGTTTTCATATATTGTGCATGAAATATTTAAAAGTTAAAAAGTTTCCGCGCTTGTAAAACTGCGACAACAAACTACATCGCTTGCTTGCATTCGATATGGCATTGTCAGGGCGCTATAAAACACGGGCGGTGAAACGGAGATAGCGCCCCTGATCTTTGTGTGATGCGCGTACCCCCCGTATACATTAAACATTAATTTATAATGTCAATAAAAATGGAATTGGAATGTGTATGCAAAAAAGAGCTGAAAAAACTGAAGTAAAAAATGTTTTCTGCATTCCTAAACATCTTGATGGTTTGAGGACATTGTTGGATTCATTTTCTGTATATCTGATGAAGGAAAAGGGGCTTTAAAGATTCATCATGAGCGAAATAAAAATTTGAAACGGAATCGAGCTGATCGAATGTGGGCATATTCCAAATACGAAAATTTTGGTTTGAAATGGGATATTTTACTTCATAATGCGAAGGTAGGATAAACATTTTCACAGTAAGAATATTCTCGGACATTGCTTGGCTACTATTTTTCAATAATCATATAGCCCAAAATTGACCATGCATGTATTTATTAAAAACAGCTAGAATTTGAAAAAAAACCCAACTACAATTTGCTCGACAATTTGAAAACTTAAATATATAACCGTTTTTGTGTTTTAAAATCAGCTGGCCTGCTTGGAATCCATTGAAAGTTTATTGCAAAGTGTTTTTTACTAATTGATTTGATTTCTATTATTGGTATAACTGCCGCCGACACTCCAAAAATATTCAGCGTGAATCTTTTTTCGTGCGACTGCAGTCGTTGACACTGCAGTGACAGTGTTACGGAAAACTATAAAGGCTTCAAAATATCTCCATTTTATGAAAAAAGCACAAAAAAGCACCGTTCAATTTTACGTGAGACATAAAGCCAAGTTAAATGTCTATAGTTTGGTGTGTTCAAATTCATCTCAACCTATCTCAACAAGGAGAAAACACTATTTTAAATACGTCCGCGCTTTGACAAAAAAGAAAAAATGTCGTCAAAATCGAGTTCAAAATGCATGTCTCTTCCTCAACAATGGCTTTGTTCATTTTGCATGTGAAATAGATACCAATTTTAACTATATAAGCTGATACTAGATCCTTCACTAAACGTTTATAGTATGTATTTGAGGCAGGAAGTGATTTCGTTCAAATGATAATTGAAAATTTGTGTTGTTTAAATATCGTCTTATCTGCATAAATAATAGTAGTCGCGAATCTATATTGTCGTGTGGAGTATACGGAAAACTATAAAGGCTGCAAGATATCTCCATTTTATGAAAAAAGCACAAAAAAGCACCGTTCAATTTTACTTGAGACATAAAGCCAAGTTAAATGTCTATAGTTTGGTGTGTTCAAATTTTTCTCAACCTATCTCAACAAAGAGAAAACACTATTTTAAACACGTCCGCGCTTTGACAAAAAAGAAAAAATGTCGTCAAAATCGAGTTCAAAATGCATGTCTTTTCCTCAACAATCGCTTTGTTCATTTTGCAAGTGAATTAATAGATACCAATTTTAGCAATATAAGCTGATACTAGATACTTCAATAAACATTTATAGTATGTATTTGAGGCAGGAAGTGATTTCGCGTTTAATTAATAATTGAAAATTTGTGTTGTTTAAATATCGTCTTATCTGCATAAATAAGTATATAAGTAGTCGCGGAATTGTCGTGTGGAGTACACGAAAAACTATAAAGGCTGCAAGATATCTCCGTTTTATGAAAAAAGCACAAAAAAGCACCGTTCAATTTTACTTGAGACATAAAGCCAAGTTAAATGTCTATAGTTTGATGTGTTCAAATTTATCTCAACCTATCTCAACGAGGAGAAAACAGTATTTTAAACACGTCCGCGCTTTAAATTTTGCAAATATTTTAATCGCTCGAGTAAAATTTTTGCCCTGATATTTTCTTTCAACGAGTGTTCAGTAACAAACAACACAAGCTATTACATGTAATATAACTTATTAAATAATATTTCAAATTTTAATTAATGAAACATAATTATTTAGCATTTAAATCCTTTGTTTTCTCGTTTGCTTGTTTACATTTTTTTGTTGCCATCTTGTACGCGATTTTCTGATTTTTTTAGAGAAAGCGCGCTCGCACCAATCCTAATGTGCATCACACGTAGCACGGTCATTTATTAGCGCGTTTCCCCGCCCGTGTTTTATAGCGCCCTGGCATTGTGTAGACTTGGCATGCACATGTCAAAAATAAGCCAAAAAAATGTTTAAAAATTAAAAAAGCCCATTATCATTTGGTGATTTTTAGAAAATTAGGTACTTAAATTATCCAAAAACATCAAAATAAAGCTAGTTTTCATATACTGTGCATGAAATATTTAAAGGTCAAAAATTTTCCGCGCTTGTAAAACTGCGACATCGCTGTGAACATGCAATTTGGAGTCTTTTGGCGGACATTTCAGTTGCATATTGTAAGTTCGAAAAGAGAAATAAAACAACCTTTAACATGGTAAAAACGGAATTTTCTGCTTGTTACTTATAATTGAATATTTTCCCTAACTTTCATATTGCATTTGAATGCCTGAATATGTTAATGAAAATGTTTCCAATGCTTTCTAAATTGACAATTGTTTTCTAACTTTATCAAAACAAGGTCACAAGTTGTGTCATTGTAAATTACGCAAGTGACCTGGTCATAAATCTTTAAATTGAAAAAAAAGCCCACAAAAGCCCATTTTCTAACCTTTTCAGATCGAAAGTATAACTAATTATAGATAATTTAAAGGGTTGAAGTTAACTTTTTTTCCACTCGGTCTGGCTAAAAAACTCGACTACAATTTGTCATTGCCTGAAAAATGTAAATATATTTTATGATAAAATCGCTATGCCTTCAAATAATTTCACATTTTAAAAATGCTTTTCCAACTCCAGCGATGTAATTTGCAATACTAATTAATTGCCAGAGTCTCTATTTTATAACAAGTTAATAATTTTTTTCCATTTTAAGGATAAATTGACCTTAAAAATTTGCACTTTTTGATTGCCCTTTAAATATTTTTGTCTCTTGTTTTTGCTTCGCTTCATCTTTAAAAATCCCACTTCATCCGCGCATTTCGCACGCTCGCGCCAGTCTCCCGTGCATCACACATGGATCAGGCAAATATTAGCGCGTTTCACCGCCCGTGTTTTACTACGCCCTGTTCCCACTCATCAATCAGGGTTCTGAAGGGGTAAAATGGGAACTGGAATTGATCTATTTTTAGACTGGGAAAATGGGATTTGGGTGCTGGGACTGGGATTTGGCCACTGGGAATGGGAAATGAAACCCTCAAAAATGGGAATGGGATTGAGGTAATGCGAGTCGATTCCCAATTTTTCTGCGTTTTGAGTATTTTAAAATACAATACAATGTTTTTAAAATCCGTTTTTGGTGTCTTTGGTCATGATTTTTGTTGCTAACTAAATTCACAGCACTACCTGTGAACAGGCATACTCTGGCGCACGGAATTCTGGGTTTTCTGATTATGCGTGTCTCAGAATGCTGCAAATGCCATTTCCGGGATTCAATTTTAAAAATTTTCCGTGCCTTTGGCACGAGGCCCCCCCTCATATTTCATAACGTGTCCGCCACTTGCTTAAAATGTCTTAAAACTGTTTATTCTACCGATAAATAACGGGTTTTTTATTGACTGGGATTTCAATAACTGGGACTGGGATTTCTAATAAAAATCCAACTGAGACTGGGATTTTGCCAAAATTTCAGGTGGGAAATGGGATTGGGACCCCCCCTTCAGGACCCTCATCAATGAAATGCTATAGAAAATACTATACTTTTCGAGGCGTTTTTGCATTTCTGGATTAAAAATACCTTTTTGAGGTACGTTCGCCTTGAAATCGCAGCTTTTTTGGAAAAGGGTACAAGAAAAAAACATTAATTGGCGATGTTGTTGTTTTTAAATCGCATTTTAAAGCTAAAAATTTCGAATTACGACATTTTTTATATATTTGTTTTGAATCTGTTATATGATTCTCTGGTGAAGTATCGTCTAATCAATACATGTACTTACGGTTTCTGGCACCACTTTATGGAAATGGAAGTTGGTAAGTAACGTTTCAACTATCGGCGTAGGCAGTTTATACTGTAAACAACAGTACACTTACACTAAAAGTACACTTTCAGTTTGGGCAGTTTTCACTATAAATCTTAATTGAAATGTTTGAGACTGTCTGTGTCTGCACTTTCAGCTTGGATAGTTTTCACTCTAAATCTTTAGTGAAATGTTTGAGACAGAGTGGTCAGAACATATAAACATCTGCTTTTTGGGTGGCCACTTTTCTTGATGAACATTTTGTATCAACTGTTTTCATAGTAATTCATCCTTAGGGATGTTTATCATGTTAATGCAAGTCTAATTTCAATCAATATAATAGTATACCGTAAAAAACTAAAAATAAATTGCTTACTGATGAAATGTCCTGGGAAGTTTTCTTTTGATTTTTTATTCTGTCAATTGACCCTTCACTATTACTTCTTATACTTTTTGCATCAGGAATGACTTTACCCATTGCTATGAAATTTTCTGAGTTTAATTCAAATTTTTAATTTCAATTGGCACCAAAACTTCTTCAGGTCTCCAAATTTTTTTTTAAAATTGGACATTTTTTTAATGATATTTACAGTAACCACTAAACTCAAAAGGCAAAAATTGAGAGTTTATCATCTTTTCATTTCCTGAGAGTACTGGCAAATTTATTTTATTTTTTTAGAAAAGTTTAATTATTGTGCATCTGATGAGTCAAAGAATTAGAAAACACTATTACACGAAGTCAAAAGTAATACTTTATTATAACAATAGAATTATTTATACAATAGTGAGTGCAACTATGTTTAAGATTATAAAATCTACTGTGCATCAAGCAGTTTATCCCATTGACCTTACAATATACAATAATGCAAGAAGTAATGTGTCTCATTACAAAATAGGGTTTCCCAAAGCAGTTCTAAAATTCAACTGATTATCAATGACCTATGCTGTTAATAATTACAGTAAGTTGGCAGTTTGATTGCTTGAATTAAAAACAAAAGGTCTAGGACTCAACAGAAAGAAATATGTCTTAACATAAAATATTAAAGATAGTTTGAAGCATTCATACAATTGAAGGTTTTAGAAAGTTTGATTATCAACTACATTTACATAAAGCAATAGCAATTATGTTATTTTGCCTGCGAATATATAAAATATATATATCTTCTCTAGCTTCTAATACATTTTAATCCTGATGTGATTCCATGGAACTATAAAATAATATATGATATGTTGTATGTATGTAATAAATATACAAATAGTAAGGAGTAAGAACCATTTTTGGTGTCAATGTTTTATATATTGACTATTTAAGATTTTAAGTCTATTTTTGCCATTGATAAACTGCGACTAAAATATGTTTTTCAGTGTCGCTGCCTTTTACAAAAGAATATGCAAATACATTCACAATTTTGCCATGAAGCAATGGCGATAGCTCAAAATGTTTTATTTGGAATTGGTGGAACTATATTCAGGGCCCGCGGAGCGTATTAGAGAGTGGGGGGGCTAAATCATCAATAAAACCCCCAATGAATTAATTTAGAAAGTTTCATTTAGATTTCTATTTTAATAATTTTGGCTGTCAAAAAAAAGTGAGGGGGCTAAAGACCCCCCAGCCCCCCCGTCTCCGCGGTCCCTGATATTTATATATACATCAACAATGATGGTTTGTCCATAGGGTTTGTCCTATGGGCGCCCTTCATACGGGTCGACAAATATTGATATTTTCGAAAAAAATAATTAAATTCTGCCTACCATTATTCACAATATGAAGCTCCAACGATCTGGCATCATTTACAACAAGTTGCACACTTGAAAAACCAAAATTGACTGCATAAAAGAGGATTTATTGTCAACTTTGTCCATTTCCGCAATACAAAATATACAAATTATCACGCTCCGTGGGAACGACCAATATGGCCGCCGCACGTAAACTGCGACTGCGATCAGGCTTCAATTTTCGCCTGCCTACAGGGTGGGATGCGCTATCTAGTGTATATGAGATATCTATGATCGCGTCCAACAACGGGGAGGAGGGTGGGTAATTCTCTTCCATCCAATTTCTTGATGTGAAGCTGCAGCCCATATAGAATAGGAAAGGACAGATAGCCCGCTTCACCACTGATAAATACCGAAATTTCCAATCACGTGACTATACCTAAATTAACTTGCGCGCGCAAATTACTTATTTCGCATAATTAATTTCAACTATAAATTATTCCAGGAAGCAATAAAAACTCTTATCGTTGTGGCAATAAATAAGTTCCTTTATGGGAACTAACACTTTCGAACACGCTGAGTTCAAATCCGAAAACCTCCCGCACCATAGACCCGCTGTTTTCTCACAAACTGCTATTTTATCTTCGCCTAATTTCACAACAAATTTTTTCATTGTTCAACGACACGGATCGATGACGACACACGATTATATCACTCAAAACGACCAATTTCTATTAACCAGTCTTCCGTTTAACCAAAGACCGTTTTGCTTGAATCATTTTGAGTTATGTAATCTTATGGGTGTTGGATGTAAACAACATATCTTGTTTGACTATTATACAGAAATTTTTGTATAAAGAGAAATTGGTGGGGTATTCTGCTTTTAACCCCCGATATTTTAAAGTTTGTTTGTCTTGTATTGTGTAAAGGGTCGCTGTAATTGGCGAAAGCTGTAGCGTATACCCAGCATGTCAATGTATGTATCGTTTATGTTAATGTATGTATAGCAAGTGATTTTAAGTTGATTTGGCAAAGCCTAATAAATAAATAAATAAACTTTGAGAAGGTACAGATAACGCCTTCTAAAATCCTCATTTCTAGCAATATCTCTGTAAAATCACAAGGAAGTTAATGCTAAGTCTTTTGGCTATGTCACTGGCCTGAAAAATAGCCTAACTATATTTAACGCGATCAAGGTTTTTAAAACAAAAGTAATGCGAAGCCAATGTAACGGCAAAGACAACGCTAAAATGAAATGTTGTCGATTGGTTGCTGGTAGAAGACTTGCGACAAGATCAATCTTATAAATAACCTTAAACTAGAAGAATAAATGTTCACATCAAAGACAAAGATCAGTGCCAAAGTATAAAGTCTGCTCTGTAAACCTACGACGAAGTGAAGAAATGTGTGCATAAGCTGTTTATTTGGTTATTTTAACGTATATGGCAGCCCTCTTTCCAATAATATTCGCTTATCGCACAGAATAACACCAAACAACTGATTTAATAGTTCAATACAATGATAAGTTACCTCCTGAATTACATCTCATAAACTGTGTTGGAAATGTAAATGCTAACCCATTCCATAAGATTACCGTTTTACATCGTTGTATAAAACATTTTGATCGCATGTAAGGAATTATTTTTCATCCCAGAGACATAGCCCAACGACTTAACATTGACGTCCTTGTGATATAGAGATACAGCCAGAACTGAGGATTTACAAAGCGATATCGTTACCTTCCCAAAGTTGTAGACAAGATATGTTGTTTATGTCCAACGCGCTTAATTTAAAATTACATAACTCAAAACGATCCAAGCAAAACGGTCTTTTGTTCAATGTAGAGACTGGTTCATAACATAGATATTTATATCAGTAAACTAGATAGCGCATCTCTTTTAGTAAAATTGAAGCCAAGAATATTCCAGCGTTACCCCCATTTGAATAGATGGCGGCCATGGGGAGTTTCCCACTCGCTAATAAACGCTTAAAAAACAACAATAACTTTCATCATTTGAATAGTTTGAAAAGGTTTTTGGAATAGGTTTAACTTAATGTTTAAGTTCCCTGTTTAAGAAATAGAAAACATACGAGTCTTCTCATTTCATGGGAATATCCTGAGTCTGCAATCACGGCTTCAATTTTTGAATTGCAGAATAATTAGATGCACTATCTAGTGTATACAAGATATCTATGGTTCACAATTAGTCATTTTTGAGTTATGCAATTGTGTGTCTTCATCCATCCATGTCGTTGAACAATGAAAAAATTTGTCGTGAAATTAGTGAAGATAAAATCTCAGTTTGTAAGAAAACTGCGGGTCTACGGTGCGGGAGGTTTTCGGATTTGAACTCAGCGTGTTCGAAAGTGTTAGTCCCCATAAAAATATTTCAGTGCCCATAGAAATATTTCAGTTTCAAGACATGCTTAATGAAAATCGTTTTCTAGGCACTTTTCGAAGTCACAGCAAACTGCCTATAATTTTAATTAAACTCGTTTACACTCGTCATTATTCTAATTTAGCTATTTTTTCTCATTCTATGCATAACTTGGGCTATAAGAATGACAAAACATCAGTGGGACTAAGACATTGTCTTTTATTACTCTTTGGAGAAAATTATCAATCATGCAAGAATAATAATAATTATAAGTAATAGCATGGCTTGAGGGAGATTAGTGATTAAATGGCCCCGTAACCCGAGGCAGGTTTGCGGAATTCCCGAGGGCGAAGCCCGAGGGAATTCCGCAAACCTGCCGAGGGTAAGGGGTCATTTAATCACTAATCTCGCGAAAAGCCATGCTATTAGTTTGTAATAGCATAGTTTCGCTCCCATTTAAAAATGGACAAACATGCCCTAGTTGGAATCAGCGTATTTAAGCTAAAACATTTGCTTTATTGCTTGTGGGATGTAAAAGCTTGTTGCACATGCGCACTTTTTACGCTTTAATCGGTTACGCATGCGCAATCTATCATTTAACGTACCACAACAAACACGCTAAATATATTAGTACAAATTTGGAGACTGCACGTGCGTAATTTAAATGATGCGGCAACTCAGGGATCGGATGATAGACTGTTGACGGCTCTGAGCTAACTGTTGCTGTTCCTTGCACGATTATGTGCGTGAGGCACTTGCCTAATGCGTAGTCGTCAGGGAGACAAAGGTGTGACCCTTGGTAACGGGCGATTAGTTCTAATCGCCCGCTACAGCGGGCGATTAGAACTAATCGCCCGCTACAGCGGGCGATTAGTTAGTAATCGACCCTGTTGAAACAAAAGAAACCCGGGCAACTATGCTATTATAATAATAATAATGTGAACTTTACTAGTTATTAGCATGAAGTGGCGACAATACAGCGGGTCAACCCGATGTACTGAAATTTAGATATAGATGGAAAGTAAACAAACATGAGTTTTATCTCAAAGGATTCAAGAGAAATTTCTGGCATGTCACGTGGAAAATCCTATGTCAAGTTCACACAACATAGCGGCGATGACTAACTTGGCAGACAGAGCTTGCTATGACAACCACATAATCGTTCCAAAAATTTGCTAAGATAGATTTACTAACTATACCAAATTTAATTTAATCTTGTGTAATTCCGGCTTCTGAAATATTAAACGTTCATCTTTGTGCTGCCATCTTATTAAGGACAAACAGTGACGTTACAACACAAAATGCTCGATGAGCTGTAAATAAATTGTTAAGACCACTAGAACTTCATAATTTTCAAGATACTTTCAAGTGATGTATAAAAATTGGGGAAAATATTTCGTGTCATGTGCACTCTAAGAAAGTTTACTATGCCTGGTCTTTTAATAAAAAAATTTCAATTTAGAACGCTATTTCTTGAAAAATAATTGTCTGACGGATTGGGATTATACCAGCATGCAAGTATCCTCCTTCCAGGCATCATATAGTGTCTAATATACAAATTGCCAACAATAAATAATGCAGCAGTGACGCTTCAGTATTTTATACTAACACAAAAGAAAAAGCATTGAATGCACAGTTGTATTTGAATATACACGAGACACTATGAAACTGAGATAAAATCCAATTTTTAAGTATACCCTATATTATTCCCAAGGACCATGATCTTCTTTGCGTTCACGTTCATATTTGAATATAGAATAGATTGCGGATTTGCAAGCCTTTCAAACAGTCGCGAGCTAGCCATTAAATTATTCAAACTTTATTCGTTAAACTTTATTGAAATTAATTTAAGATTTTAATTAAAAACATAAAAAATTAATAGCGACAAACTGTTAAATAAATTACGCCGGAACGTTGGTAAAATTCGCTGGAGCGGTACAACAAAACTACACTGTTAAAACTTATGTGTACAATTTAAAAGGAAACTGAACATTGTATTTATAATTTTTTTTAAACTAGAAAGCATAATCAAGCAAATACGAGTTGTCCGATAAATATGTTAACTGCGTGCACTATTCTTAATTGCTCCCACTCATTGCTTCGATTTGGCTAAATTGCAGAATATTCGTCCACTATAATCATATTTCAATTGTATTAAGATGTTATTCAAGATATTCAAGATATTAACAATTTATCGTAGTCTAGGCCAATCAGAAGACACTTACATTAGCGATAAGGGAATATATGTGTTATACTCTAAATTCTTTAGTCATTTGCGACTGCTTCAACACAAGTGGCTAACCAATCAAGACTTCGGAAAGTTATCAAACTTAGGTAGGTTTGTAGGTTTGAATATTTATGTCTTTTCTGTACCAGTATATATAAAATATATGAAATGAATATAGATATGCGCACATATTGTTTAACATATTATTTTTGTAATTTTAGTCAACTCTGTCGTTTCAACCTTAACATTAAAATGTAACTTGAAATTTTCTACAAAAATTTGGAGCGGTTAAATTAAGCATACATGATAACAATTTCTACACATATTACATTTCACATATAAAAAAGGAACGTTAATTTTTTTATTTGCCGGGAAAGGTGGCTAGTGGAATTAGAGGGTACGCCATGCCAGTATGAAACGAGAAAAATACATATTATTTTTTTTAAGAAAGCCACCTCCCATATAGTATTACTCTAATGTAGTATATACATTTGTTTATGAAATAATTTTCACAAAATTCTGCAAGCTATGCTGGTAGTTCGGCCCTCCTCCCTTCCATCCTTGCTTTGCTACTATGATCATGTAAATTCTTCTTCTCTGATTTTACAGATTTTTGGGTGCATGTACGATATTAACTAACTTGCTTGCTTCTTTATCACTATTGAGTGAGGGTTGTTGCAGGGATATTTGGTATTATCCAACCTATATAGTAACATTCTTGCAGTAATAAATTTACGTGGTGTTTCCACAAACAAACCTATTATGTGTTTTATCGCTACGCAAACGTACAATAAACTTATAACGTTCTTATCCTTCAGCAACTGGACTTACTGGGACGACAACTCGCTTTAAAACGGCGCGCGAGGTATATTCTTGCACTTTTCACCGACACTGAGGTGAATAATTGTTTTAGCATACACCACCACAAAACAAAAATAACCAAAAACAACGAAAATATTTAACTTTAGTTGTAAACAAAACAGTATTTTTACACGCTTTTATCATTTTTATTCATATATGAAATAGCTTTAAAGAATACCTCTACACACTGCATGTTAAACAAAACTTTGTGGCTTTCTTCGTGTTTGGCGAAACTGCATGCAACTTTATTTAGTACAATAATTTGTTCGTCTGTAAAAAAACTGATAGCGTCATAACACAAAATGCCCGATAACTTGGGAACGAGATGAGCCGTGAGTTAATTGTGCAGGCCATTCATCATCATTTTCAAGGTTTTGAAGTAATGCGCGAAAAATAACAAAAATGTGTTATTTTGCACTTTATTAATAAATGGCTACATGAGTAGAATAATTTTAATATCGAAGGTCAACATGTTGATATTATGTATCTGCGAAAAAACTTGATTCACATTTTGTATTTCCTTGAAAGAAACTGAATAATGAAGATGACATGGGACAATTGAAATATTTCATCACTTATTATAATAGCAGATAAGATTTAAAACAGGGCTGTACACAGCGGGGAGGGCAGCAGAGCAAGCGCTCCCCCCCCCACCCCCGCACCGAAAAAATTTAACTAACTTTATAATGTGATTATGATTGTAACAGATAATTATGCAGTCAGGAAATAAAAATTTCATGCAAGCAATATTCAAAGTGTCTATACAGCCGGCTATTTAGTAAACTGTCACCTGTCAATTCAATCCATACTCATCAAATTTTTAATTGTAATCATATGAAGCAAAAGTTATGTGTCACTTGTTGTTTACACTTGCCAATGTTAACTGTTGAGTAATATACACAAAATATTTGGTGAACATGTTAAAGACCACTGAATAATTGAGAAGGTTTTGAAGGTCATGAGTGAAGTATATAATCAAATTCCAGTTCTGTGCACAGTTAATGATATACCACACTGTTCGGTTTGACACATATAGCACATTCACACAAAAACAATTGTGTTGTGGGAGATTATCGGTTTGAGTAGAAGGTATCACAAGTTTAGTTTTCTACATTGTGTGCCATTGATCAAATCCACCATATAATATATGATTATTCATTGTAGCTGTTAAGTTATTTTCCATACTAATGAATTTAGGTAAGATTGTCTTGGAAGTTGGTTGTGCTGACAAAATTATCCAGCCAATATCCAGTACATTTATTCTTCATTCTTGTATTAATCTCTAAAGAAAAATATTTATGTTAGAAAGCAAAATGACAATGTAATGAGGCTCGGGAGGGTGAGGATTCTTTTATTTGAAAATGTTTGTAAAAATTTTGTTTAATTAACTCTAATGTGTAAAACCAAAATGTATAAGTATTTTAACTGATAACATCTTCAATCTTTGCTCTAACACTACATTTGATGACAGCTTTATAGTTGGATCGACTGTTGTTACAGAGTCAATATACAGAAATACAGGACCAGGATTTAATTCAATATCTCCTAAGAACTGTTCAATAGGTTCCTTTGATATTGTTAATTGGCAATATTGCCTGCTATGTTTTCACTGTTTAAAATATTACAGAAGTGAGAAGTCACAGAAGGATTGTTTTTAATACTGTATAAATCTTTATGTGAACTATGTTGACAATTAATAAATGGCTTAAAATATCCTCGAAAATATCCAATATTTTATACAGTGTAATATATTAATACCAAAATTCCAGAGTGCATTCCATGTAAACTCTACGCCCAAGATACGGCAATATCAATTCTTTATTCTGTGGCAATATTAACTATAGATACTAGTATAGTAAATATTTGCCGAACTGGCGAACTCATGTATTATTAAATATGTGGGACATATATTTGCACAAATTTGGTATTTAAATATATAATATGTGGTATTTGACTACTTACCAGATGAGGATAAGATTCCATGTTGATAAATAACTTCGGAATAAAAAAAAAGACAGCCAATTCGAGATAAATTGATAAAAATATAAAGATATTTTTGAAAGAATAACACGATTTATACACGAGGCCTGACGAGGCTAAAGTATGCCCGTTCGCAGGTTAGATGCGGGCACGATGTAAACAATTGATGTAAACGAATCGCTGATTGGCTTAAATTGGCTTAAATTATATAAGCTCGTCGCTGAATGGCTAGGGATACGGTACGGTACGGTACGGTCACGGCACGTTTGCGATAGCATATATATCTGCTTCGCAGATACAAAAACCATCATTTTCCCAAATGTTCCATATGAACACAGATTATCCTCACGATATACTAAACGTAATATTTTCCTTGAAATGTTTCAGGTTGCCAAGCAAGGCATTTCAAACAGTATTTGCCCACTACCCAGAATCCTTAGTAAGACTAGTACAGGTAACAGATATACATTTTGTATACGTAACATAAATTAACGTATGAATTTTATATCAGAGGCCTTATCGACGTTTAGACCGCAAACGACAAATTTCAAATCGTATTTGGAGATTAAGTTCTGTTTCAATTTGAATGCACAAATTGCCTTGACTTCGAACAGTTCTAATAATTGAGCTCAAAATACATTAATTTGAAGGTTGTCATTTGCAGTAAACGTCAAAATCTTAAGATTTTCCAGAGATTCAGTAGTTCAAATTGTTATTAAAGGTCCCAGCTTTAATTCCCTGTCGAAGCGCCGACAGTCGCACTTTATCGAGAGGGCGTGCGCGATATTTTACCAAGAAAAATTAATTTTGTGCTTTATCAATCTACTAGGTGATCATGCTTCGCTTACAACAAGTCACCATGATGGCACTTCATAATTTTCTTGGTTTGACACAAGAACTAATAAACTACGTAAGTATCAAGGCTCTTTCTTGGCCTATAGTATTTTAAACAAAACACAATCCGAGTATTGTTTTTAATTCATTACTTTATTAGCACGGTATATAGTATATCACCATATTTTGTCAATTTAGGATCCCGAAGATGCTGCTAAACTATCCTCTATTCATTCGTTTTCAAATGCCAATAAACCGTCCACAGTGGTCACTGGTACTGATAAAGGTAGCAGTTCCTTGTTTTTTACCCCATAGATTCTCATGCGCCAAAATCTCATGTGCCGAACTTTTATCCAACCCGTGTTCTCTTTTGATTGTACAGCGAGAGTTGAATTTTTGTCAACAAGATGTGTTCGCAACATGCTTGTACAGTAGCAAGCTTGTCAACAAGTTGTAACAATGCTGTTATTTTATCAAGTTGCTACAAAATTGTCACTCACAACTTGTTGACAAATTGTTGAATTGCAGGACGATAACAAGTTGTTGGAACAACTTGTAACAAGTCTGTTGAGCTCGACAACCTTGTAGTAAGTTGTCAACAAGCCGTTGACAACTTGTTTACAATTAGCTGGGCACAATTAAGCAGTGCGAACACATCCTGTTGGCAAGTTGTTGGAACAGCATTGCTACAAATCTGCTGCAAGTTTGTTACAACTTGTGCTTTTTTACGTTTGTATAGGAGGAGAACACTCCCATAATTCCATCAAAGTCCCCCACCCTACGAGAAATTATTGCTTTTGTCTCAAATAAAATAACATTTCTCGCATTTAGATAACCTGGGTGCCAGGAGTTTTGAGGCTGTTCAAGGGAACTACTGTTATTCCTACACAGAAACCCTAGCTAGGAAACTCTCTATACAGTATAAAGCCTCTGGAACGGCCTTATAACATTTAACTATTTGTCGCTCAGTCTCTCTAAATCTTACTTATCTTTTCGCATATAGAAAATTTGCCAGACACTACCTCAAACACGCAAAAGAAGAATATCCCTGCGCAAGCTGGCAGGAAAGTACCTCGTAGTGTTAGCGTTGTGGCTAAAACTGGCAGTTCATTGGCTAAGAGCGCTCCAGTACAGATACCAGATCCAATGAGAAGAAGTTACTCCCTCACTTTCCTGCGAGAGAGAATGAGTGATGGGGAAATCGCTGATGGTATGTGTTTATGTTATTAACGTGCTATTACAATTGGTAACCTATATTTGTTTAAAAGTCCATGCCTGACTATTTATAATACACATATTCTGTTAAATATCCGGTATGCGTTTCCCTATCGAATTTGTTTTTGGCATATAGCTTTCAAAATGCCTCAGGGCCGGGTAACTGTCCGCAGGAGTAGTGATGTCATTAACAGTTGGAAACCTTTGCATTTTTTGCTAAGATAAACTAGAAATTCTCGCATTTTTTCGGCATTTGCTTCGGTAGTTGCAGAGTGCCTAGGCTAATTGCGAGGGCTGCATCAATATACTGCATGTGTCTTCTATTGCCTTGGGATGAGCCTATAATCGGAAATTAATCGGTAAAAGCCGGTAAACGGAAACTTCCGGGTAGATCGGTTATCGGCCGACCACATCGGCAGGTACATGTATCGGCGGTCCAATAAATATCATCCTGGCTCATTTACCAGGAAACTTTTCCGAAATAAATTGATTACTAAAATGGGTCAATTGACATTTCTGTTACTGGTCTGTTAACTTTTGTTATGTTTGCTAGCATTTTGCGCCAATTTCGAGTGTTAGGAGATCCTGTTAGCAAATTTCGGTAACGGCCGATCGGATGGTAAATCGAATCGGTAAATTTGATTTTTTTGATCGGCTGATTCGTAACGGACTCCAAAGGGACAAACCAGAATTCTGGTCGTTTTATATAGAGGAGAGCACGATGATGTCATGCACTTTGAAGATATCACTGAATGTTTCGATATTCAGCACATAACAACAGTGAGGCATACATCTAAATAATATTAATATCATTCTTTTACTTCTGTACCTGCTAACCTGCCAAAATGTTTTTGTGTTAAAAAAACGTCAACAGACATATATACTGTATGTTTGAAAATTATTTATTTAAAAAAACGCCCTGTTTTATACATGATTTTCTAATTAAAATAACTATGTGTATAAATACTAATTAAACTGATCATTATATGTACAATTTAAAAATGTCCGTATAAGCTGTGTTTAACACGTGCATATAGTTATTGATCATTAATACTAAACGTCAATATATAATATATACTAATACATGTATAAGACACTATGAATAATTTATTCACACCTATCAAAGAATAGTTTTGTGAACCACACCATGCATATACATGCTTATTATACAATATTTCCCGATAAGGTCTACTTTCCACACCCTGTGAAGATGAACAATCTAAGAAATGCATTAACTTAATGATGCCTATACATAAATGTCACACCATGCAAAATACCTAACATGTGTAGAGTTCCTTTTACCTATCTCTAAATTACAATATACCCAGATACCAAATTATTGGATTAATCAACCATTGGCAATTTTAACAGTATAGATTACTAAATGTCAAAGTTAGAAACAATGTCTGAAGACAATTTAGAGACAGTTAGAGACAATTCAAAGTTCATTTACAATGGCTGGAGAGGTTTCTACTGACATCACCGAGACCTCCACCAGACCATTGCTATCTCTCTGCCCAATAATCACTCCTTCCAATTCAGGAGTAGCACCTGAACCATACGCCATGATATTAGGATTTAAACCAAGCTGTGCTAGTTGTTGATCATCACCAGTCTCCTGTATTGGAGGCCTACGATCACGCCCAGGGTCATACACCACAACATGATTTTCACCAGCCAGCGATGACGTTGTTGCCATAATTTGTCTCTCTCCTTGCTGTTGTGTTCCTTCTTCATTTTCCACAATGTCCTCTTCATTGTTATCATCACAATCTTGCTTGCTTGGCGTAGGACGTTCACCTCCTTTATCCATGTCTGTGATCTGGGAACGGAAAAATAAAATCATTTCAAATCTGTACGTCAAACTTGAACAGTTCTAATCAGGAATTTTGGCTGGTTTAACCAGCACTCTCCCTAGCTGAGTGAAGAAAACTTTGATGACTTTTTACACCGTTGGTCGAAATTTTCTCTTCCAACAGATGAGGCTCCACTGGAAAATTTTTTGAAAATCCATAGAAAGTCATAGAATAGAAATTGTATGGACCTTGATTGGAAATAGAATGGATTTTGGTTATCTATAATAATTGTATATTTCCATAGTATGGATATAGTATGGAAATAGTATGGATATACTATGGATTTAGTGGTGCAATTGTAAATTTTGTAGTATGGATTTCCAGTGCTCCATGTCAAACTGCAAATTGCACTGAACTGGGAGATTAGGGATATCAGTTGTCCAGTTGCCATCACAGAATCTTTTGATCTTACTACTTAGGCATGGTAGCTAATGTAGTTCTAGATCATAATATACCCTTAGACTCTGTACTTTATTGTTATTTTGTATCTTTCACAATCCACTGAAGCAGAGTCATATCACAATCCACTGAAGCAGAGTCATATCACAATCCACTGAAGCAGGGTCATACTATAACATTTTGTATTTGAAACCTTGAAACGAAATGTTTTTATTCCAACTTAAATTTTTAGAACAATAAATACGTTATAATACTTTCTGTTTGTGGAAACACCACGTAAATATATTACTGTAAAGCTTTCGATCCGTATGCCCAGATCTTCATCAGTTCTAATAATATGTGACTTGTTCAATTCACTCGCCCCTTTTATCTATCGTGATCTGACAAATACATTCACACGTTGTGCAGTGAATATTTCACCTTACGAAACTAGAGATTTGAGAACTACCGTATGACACCGATGTCGAAACACGCATTGTAGAAATATAAAACTTTACCTTTCACTATCTTTCGTATGGTATAGACTAAAATATATCTATATTTAAGGACATATGAATGTATTTATATGTCCCAATTGGTCAAAAGCTATAACCATACTGAATTATTTAGCTGTTAGTAAAAAAACCCGATATACTTACTTGTTGCGACAAGTACTCTGAATTTTGCGATAATACAGACAAGGTACGCATGCGTGTTGAAGATCGACATTTGCAGACACCTTTGGAATTTTGGGTCAATTGTGTATCAATTGTTTTTATACTTAATTGTCCTCTTTATCCCCGACATAAATATGTACCATTTATAGTTTATAGGTATGACATAATTTACTTTAAACAATGCCTTCACCTCAAACCTTTCAATTCTTGCGTCAGACAAAAACATGTATAATCGTTTTTCCCATTCTGTTTTTAAGTATATCCCTGTAAAGGTTTATGCCTTTCTCACACATAGCTACAATATGTGAATTGTTTCGAGCAAGTCATCTCGTATTAACTTGATAGTAACTCCTGGTACTAATTATACGTATACATGTATATACCGATGACATCGTAACATGACATCTGCTTTCGGTACCAATTGTGTTGGTGTACTTTTTATACCATCATTTCTGTTATGAAAGTAGATTTCGAGGCTTCCGTGAAGTACTTCATGTTTGTGATGTCAAGATAATGACCATGCAGTATACATTCCGAATACGCATTCCATGACATACTTGTCCATTTGTCACTATTAGATTCCTGATCTTTCTGGCTTTTCGTTCTTACGCATACTTATGTAGTTATAAACATTTGATCCATTATAAGCATTCTGTCGTGTTGGTCTTTCTCTGTTTTTCCCACGATCAAACAGTTGACATTCAAAGCCCAACATTCTGTATGAAACATTTATGTGTCTTTTCTCTTATACTTTACTCTGATTATCCTATTATAATACATGCAGGTATTTTAGCGTTGGCGTTGAGCTTTTGGAAAGATTCCCCTTTGAGCATTTGTATGAACAGTTATGTGATTGGTTGATAATTATTATATTAATTGATAACACAATAAATGAACGAGTCACTGTTTTAGCAAGCCAATCACAGCATGATTATTTTAGCTTTTACATTTACCAAACGACTTGATGTGACGTCATGTTTCATGTGAGAAAATATTCTATCACTGCGACAGAATTATCTGTTTATACAGAGATGAACATGTATTAATCGCTGATATCTGGAAAGATTATATTGCTGTTATCTTCGTAAGTTATCACTTTGTACATGTTTATATGTTTTGATAACAGATCTTAAACCAGCCTTGTTACGGCGTTTTGATCGTTGAATAAGTTATACGTCAAACGAGGTGTTTCAATTACTGAACAATCGAATCTGCTTATATAGCAATAGCTTGGGATAAAGGTTCTAATCTGCATGTATTTGGTTTAGGGTGATAAGTGAGATCAGATTAAGGATTTGGGACCAGGATATACTCAACCTCGTACACTGTAAATTTTAAGGAGTTGAATCAAGTCCAAAAGAGTTATTCTGTCACGAAAAACGGTTTTCTTTGAGAAACTATTTGGAATCTGTTTGGAAGCTATTTAAGAATTAAATTCGAATCAACGGCATATACTTGATACAAAAATATGCCACAAACATTGCAGGCTTGAAAACGGAAGCGAGGTAGCGAGGGGCGTGACTAAAACACCACATGAGTTGCATACGATTTATATACGGATACATACGAGTAACACACGAGTACATAACGAGTACACACGACTTGCATAGTAAACTCGTTGTAATTAACATCGTCAATGCTTCCCACACTCGTTTCTTTCACTTTCGCTTTGTTATCTAATATTCACTAACTTTATAAATATGGATTCCGCTGAAGGGAAGTTAAATTCGTTTAAAATAAAATGACAAGTTGTATATATTTTCATTTTAGTGTTTATTTTCTATAGTTGCATGTCTAGTTAGTAGTTTTGTTAACTAGTTTTGCATGAAAATGACCAAACATTGCAGTATTTTTATATAGATTTAGAGTTTCTAATACTATATTTAATCAGTTCTTGTAAAGTAAAATATTCATATTTTTATTAACAAAAACTTATTTAGTTGCTGACTTCATAATAATTTATATCGCGATTTATATATGTACTAGTTAAAATTAGACACACTCGCAGTACAAATAATATTTCATAGTTGTTAATATACGTAAGAGTAAGATAAGTTAGAATCACATGGCTGGATAAATAGATAAGAATGACAAAATTATTTAATCTAAATTATACATTGCCATTGGGAATTATTGATATTATTATTTGTCAGTTTTACAACAGCGGGCCTCATTATAACAGACATGCATTAACTAACGTGCAATTCAAACAAATGCATTTCAAAGCAGTATATGTCGTAGGATACTCTTAAATTTGGTCAGAGATATTTATTTCTATATATATATAAGTAAGATTTTACCTTTTATTAGACGAAGACGTTTGTTGCGATGTTGCCGGGACAAAATTCTGGACAGGATTATACAGTTTGCTTTTAAAACCCAAAATTCCTGTTTTCCGCATGTTGTGGTATATTGTGCTATATATCCTATATAATAATTATTCTATATCCAGAGTTCCCGTTGACATGCATTGATGTTGCATAAAGAGTTGAAGATTTCATGCAGAGTTGAAGATTTCATGCAATTGTTCCTCGCTCCATGGTACATTTATATTCAAAGAACCAATGGCATAACCACAGGCGGCCAGTCTTGACTTATAGTATAAATGTATATTATATTAATGTATATTATGGTAAAAATATGTCGTAAAATATAAATTTTAAAATGAAATTGACTTGCTTATTTGATAGTGTGTGTTCTCCTTTTATTCCTCCTTTGTTGGACTAATATATTCCGAGACTTTGTACTCGATGTTACTAGTATACATGAAACATGATGAAGGCTAACGATTCCCGATCGTCGATACAACGGCACGGCACTTCGAATCGAAAATTTTCACACTCAAATCGCTTTATTCTCCAAACAAATTCGCCAGCATGTACAACAAATGCCGTTCTTCGAAAATACAGAGGTACTTTGGCGAGATGTACAAGTTTTGGACCATATTTTAACAATGGAAATCAAAACCCATTTTATATTGAACTTACCCGGACCGAAAATTACTACGGCGAACGTCTACGCAACGAGGCCTCCTTTACCGTTGGATTTACAGGGGGGGAGGATGCCACTAATATATTCACGATAATATTTCGAATTAAAGTATCATATTCTACCATGCTTTCCAACAAAGAGCCGCTGTATATTACTTCTTCCTTAAATTTCTTCAATCTCCGTCGTTTAATTTTATTTTCTTCGACAACATCTCGAGTTTTATACAGTATCCGATCGAAGGAGTTTTTATTTTGAATATCAAATTTCAAATAATGTAAACAGTCGCTACGCGGCCGCGATTGGCTGGCTGTTACCGGAAATATCTGCTTCCCCCCCCCTGTAAATCCAACGGTAAAGGAGGCCTGGTTGCGCAGACGTTCGCCGTAGTAATTTTCGGTCCGGGTAAGTTCAATATAAAATGGGTTTTGATTTCCTTTGTTAAAATTTGGTCCAAAACTTGTACATCTCGCCGAAATACCTCTGTACTTTCAAAGAACGGCATCTGTTGTACACGATGGCGAATTTTTTTTGAGAATAAAGCGATTTGAGTGTGAGAATTTTCGATTCGAAGTGCCGTGCCGTCGTATCGACGATCGGGAATCGTTAGCCTTTATCATGTTTCATGTATACTAGTAACATCGAGTCTCGGAAAATATTAGTCCAACAAAGGAGGAATAAAAGGAGAACACACACTATCAAATAGGCAAGTCGATTTCATTTTAAAATTTATATTTTACGACATATTTTTACTATAATATACATTAACATAATATACATTTATACTATAAGTCTATACTGACCCTTGCGAGATTGGGCCGCCTGTGGCATAACCAGAGGCATAACACAGTTGCGAAACGAGACGGGTCACAGGTAGCCTGCATGGCAGGCGGTACTTGGGAAATACCGTCTGCCGCAAAACTGGGTGTAAATGAACTACCGCCCCTGAAGTATCAAAGCTATTTATAGATGTCATTAAGTAAATATTCAAAACTAGCCACTCCCAAGTTGCCACCAAGTCTCAACATAAAATATTAAATCCTGGCCTTTATTATCATCACCGCCCGACTGAATTTTAAAATCCTCGTGAAAATGTTTTATATTTCTTTATACAATATAAATGTACCGCCCGACAAAATAATTCAAGACAGTTAATTTTTAGTGCAGAGTTTCTTTGAAACTGTGCACTATTGTGATGACTGGGAAAATTCACACCAGTCAGTCAGTCAATCAGTCATAGAGTTAACTTTCCGGGGGGTGTATTATGTGTATACGATTTATGTTTGTAGTGATTTATTGTGCTTTGAAGTTTATTTAGGCAATTTCAGTTGTTTTATTTAAATATTCTTTTGTTCTTTTGCCATGTTCACAAAAATTTCGAGGAATCGTTGTCGTTATTGTAAATTTTTGTAAATTTTATAACATTCGCTTCTCATGTTGTGTGAAGGATCTTTCCCCCGGAAAACCCATTTTTTTCTTTAGCAACGCAAATGCGCATGCGCTATCAAGCCGTAGATCACGATGGCGTGACGATGCTAGGAAGGAGCGCTGGAGCGACACAGTGTTGTTTTCAAATTATAAACATTTTAGATGTGAATATTGAGTAAATCTTTGAGAATCTACGCAATATATAAATCGATGTTATGCATTACGGACATTCAATTAAGTATCGATATTATTTTGAGGGTATATTCATTGTACAGAGCTAGGAAGCAGCGAGGCAGTGTTTTCAAATGTATGAACATTTCAGACGTGTCAGTATTATATTGAGAAAATCTTGGAGATACTACGCAATATATAAATTGATGTTATGTACTTATGCATTACGATTTACGGGCATTCAAGTGCCGATATTATTTTGAGGGTATATTGTCATATACATTGTACAGATCGAGCTAGGAAGCAGCGAGACAGTGTTGTTTTCAAATGTATAAACATTTCAGACGTCTGTTATATTGAGAAAATCTTTGAGATACTATACGCCATATATAAAATTGATGTTATGCATTACGGGCATTCAATTAAGTACCGATGTTACTTAGTTTGACGGTATATTCATTGTACAGAGCTAGGAAGCAGCGAGACAAGTGTTGTTTCGAAATGTATAAACATTTCAGACGTGTATTATATTGAGAAAATCTTTGAGACACTACGCAATATATAAATTGATGTTATGCACGTAATGCATTCAAGTGCCGATATTAGTTTGACGGTATATTATGGCGCGCCGGACGGGACAAAAATACTTCCTGCGAAATACAAGACTTGTTTGGAAAAATCAATCTTGTAAATGTGCATATATAAAACTTTCTGAAAGAAATAAGACTTATCTTATGAAAACTAAACCTTTTTTCATTAAAAAGTACAATACTTTTACAAAAGTACAACCTTTTTTAAACCAAAAGACTTTTATCTTCACACAAGACTTGTTTTAAAAAATAAAACTTGTTTTATGAAAACTATACCTTTCTAAACACAACTACTTTTACAAAAATAGAACTTCTTTTAAACTATAAGACTAATCTTCGCACAAGACTTGTTTTCAGAAATAAAACTTGTTTTCATTTCAATCGATCGCGGGCTCAGATAATCGCGGGCTCAGAGTGAACTGCTGTGCTGTACACATCGTGGGCTCGCTCGAGAAGTATTTTGGTTTATATCATGGCGGATAACCAGACAGTATTAAAAAGTGTTCAACAAAATTATCAACAAAATGATCAGCACAGGCAACACTTTCGCCAAATTTGTGCATACCTCGTACTTGGTAAAGATCTATTCAATGAAATGAATCGAAACAAAGATTGTGTCGAATTACGACATATTTTGGGTGGCAAAGTGTGCAAAAATAAACCAAATATGTTGTGCACGAGACGCAAGCTTGTATTTCTTTTTATTTCGTAATTAATGACTCAACGAAAAGTGCTTTTCCCTTGACGTAATTTCAAAACAAACTTTCATTTACATGTCTCACCATCGCACCTGTTCTCAAGTTGTTTTTGAAAAGGCAAAACTGCAATTGCAAACTAATAATATATGTTGAACTTTCCATTGTAATGGTTTATAGCCACAAACTGTGGCTATATGGTGTGCCGAAAACAGGCATGGTTTATAGCCACAAACTGTGGCTATATGGTGTGCTGAAACTGAGGCATGGTTAATAGCCACATATAAAGTATTTCCCCGGGTGTAAATAGCCGGGCGGAATTAGTACCCTCGCGTCGGCTCGGGGATAAAATTTACAATCAAAATTTTCGTATTATTATTATATGAATTTCAAATGTGCAATGCTAAAAGCTTTATTCATTTTTATAATTATGTTTTAATTTTAGTAATTTGTTTTTTCGCTAGCCGTAGTATAAAAAAATGTGATATTTTAAAGTTGTGGAAAGTGCATGATTATCTATAGTTCTCGTTCAACATATATTATTAGTTTGCAATTGCAGTTTTGCTTTTTCAAAAACAACTTGAGAACAGGTGCGATGGTGAGACATGTAAATGAAAGTTTGTTTTGAAATTACGTCAAGGGAAAAGCACTTTTCGTTGAGTCATTAATTACGAAATAAAAAGAAATACAAGCTTGCGTCTCGTGCACAACATATTTGGTTTATTTTTGCACACTTTGCCACCCAAAATATGTCGTAATTCGACACAATCTTTGTTTCGATTCATTTCATTGAATAGATCTTTACCAAGTACGAGGTATGCACAAATTTGGCGAAAGTGTTGCCTGTGCTGATCATTTTGTTGATAATTTTGTTGAACACTTTTTAATACTGTCTGGTTATCCGCCATGATATAAACCAAAATACTTCTCGAGCGAGCCCACGATGTGTACAGCACAGCAGTTCACTCTGAGCCCGCGATTATCTGAGCCCGCGATTATCTGAGCCCGCGATCGATTGAAATGAAAACAAGTTTTATTTCTGAAAACAAGTCTTGTGCGAAGATTAGTCTTATAGTTTAAAAGAAGTTCTATTTTTGTAAAAGTAGTTGTGTTTAGAAAGGTATAGTTTTCATAAAACAAGTTTTATTTTTTAAAACAAGTCTTGTATGAAGATAAAAGTCTTTTGGTTTAAAAAAGGTTGTACTTTTGTAAAAGTATTGTACTTTTTAATGAAAAAAGGTTTAGTTTTCATAAGATAAGTCTTATTTCTTTCAGAAAGTTTTATATACGCACATTTACAAGATTGATTTTTCCAAACAAGTCTTGTATTTTGCAGGAAGTATTTTTGTCCCGTCCGGCGCGCCATAGTATATTCATTGTGCAGAGCTAGGAAGCAGCGAGACAGTGTTGCTTTCAAATGTATAAACATTTCAAACATAAATATTGAGAAAATCTTGGTTTACGTGTCTAGCACAACGTCAACGGTGCAAACTCATGTTCAGACTTCAGTTTAACGAGAACTCTACCAGATCTTACGAGAATCTATCTGTATCAAAGCTTGTCAAAACTGCTATAAACACTGCTATAACTGTGAAACCATTGAAATATTGATTACATGCGAAAATGAATCATGAACACAACGTGACCTTCAAAATAACTCAAAGGTTAGTGAGCTTGTTATTGTGCACGTCACAACTAGGTTAAAATGCGGAAGCGGATGCGAAACGGCGCGGATCCACGGAACGGATATGGAGATAAAATACGGAACGGATTTGGATAAATCCTCTTTTTTACGTTTCCGTGTTTTAGATTTATGTTCCTTTTTGTAATGGAATACAACGTCGTAGTGCTTATTACACGCTGGTCATATTCAGCGAATTTTTTCCCAATACCGCAGGCTCGCATTTTCAGCGGAATTGCGGTGAAAAATTGAAAGTTTTGCATTTTGCACAAAACTGGCCACTTTCTGCAAGATGCCCGCTGACAATACAAGCCCGCACAAGTGGGAGTACTTTTGCTAAATTGGACCAACGTGTTATTCATAACATATCTTATACAGCTATATTTCAATTAAAGTTGTGACTGGGACAATAGTCAAATGTACAATATGGGCGCTAAAACGATGATGGCATTGGCAATAATCATACATTTAAGTACTATTTAAAGCACGCGTAGGAGTGTTTTATCACATATAAAACACGACGCGTAGCGGAGTGTTTTATATGTGATAAAACACGACTACAAGTGCTTTAAATAGCTTCAAAAACGACTCATCTTATACGAGTTCATTGGCGAAGTAATTTTTAAAATAAACTTTGTCTAAACCGAGAAAATCAAAGCTAAAGTTTATGTAAATTAACGTGATTTTTATCACATATAAAACCACGACACGCTTATGATTTTTCTTTGTGTTTTGCTCCTGAATTATTAATGAGTTTTTGAAATAAGTTTAGCATATCAGTAGCCTTGTGGGGATACTTGGCGACAGCTCCAATAAATTGTGTCAGTTCCACGAAGCACGACGTTTCTGATGTGTTAGGCTTGTTTTAAACGTCGGGTTACTCGTGTGCCGAACGCATTAAAAACAATAGATAATGAGATGAAATGCCTATGATAACCGTTTATTTCGTAGTTTAACCCATGTGACGACATGTGATTAAGGCTATAAGCCACGCTTGAAAAGCTATTCAATTAATAAGCATGCCTTATAGCGTTTGTCTTTGAAAACTCTGCACTATCCTTGGATCCCTAGTTATATAAAAGGTCTCAGTTCGTTCGTATTGGGTCGGATGCATCTACACTTCAATATATCAATGGTGGTATTCCACAAGGTACTAAGCTTGGCCCGATCCTCTTTGCCGTAATGGTGAATGAACTTTTGTCTGCGTGGGGCCCCCGTGCTAAGTTCGTTGATGATCTTACCGCTTTGGAAATTGTACCTAGAAATTCCCCTTCCTTGATGAATCATATCGTGGCAGATATACACTCGTTTGCTGAAGTGAACAATATGAAGCTGAATCCTGCCAAGTGTAAAGATATGATTGTTAACTTTCTTCATTTCAATACTAGTGTTTTGCAACCTATCATCATTGGTGCAACACGCGTGGAATCTGTTTCATCATTTAAACTGCTCGGAGTGTATGTTACCAGTGATTTAACATGGTCTGTGCATTGCGAATACATTATTAAGAAATCCAATAGGCGTTTATATG